AAAAAAAAAAAGGAAAATAGCCTTACTCGACCCAGTCGTTCTCGATATTGTTCTTCGTCAACTTGAAAAAAATAAATAAAGGAAACTTCGCATGGAAAAACGTGGCTGTGGTGATTTATGGGAGGGGGGGTACCTTTATTTTTTTTCTTTTATCCCTTTTTTTCCTTTTTTATCCTTTTGTTTTCTCCATTTTTTTCACTTTTCTTCCCTTTTTTTCCCCCTTTTGTTCCTTTTTTTTGCCTTTTATCCCTCGGGACCGGGAGCGGGAATCTTTCGGGATTTATCCAATTTTTTCCCCTTTTTTTCCCCTTTATTCCTTTTTTTCTTTTTTATCCTTTTTTTTTTTCTCCTTTTATCCCTCGGGATCGGGAATCCCGAGGCCGCGCGCTTTTAGGGACACATTTTAGGGTTTTCGGGACGCTTTTTAGGGTTTTAGGGATGCGTTTTAGGATTTTAGGGACGTTTTTAGGGTTTTAGGGACGTTTTTAGGGTTTTAGGGAGGTTTTTAGGGTTTTAGGGACGTTTTTAGGGTTTTAGGGAGGTTTTTAGGGTTTTAGGGAGGTTTTTAGGATTTTAGGGACGCCTTTTAGGGTTTCAGGATTTAGGGAGAAGGATCCCGGGACCCTCCCGACACGTTCGATCCCCCCGGGGTTTGGAGGAGGGGGGAATCCGGTCCCGGGGGCGGGCGGTCCGGTCCGGCTCCGGTCGGGGCTCCGGTTCCGCTCCGGTTCCGGTTCTGGTCCAGTTCCGATCGGGCCGTCCGGTCCGGTAACGGTTCCGGTCCCGGTCCGGTTCCAGTCCGGTCCGGCTCCGGTCGGGGCTCCGGTTCTGGTTCTGGTCCACTTCCGATCGGGCCGTCCGGTCCGGTAACGGTTCCGGTCCCGGTTCTGGCCCCGGTCCTGGCTCCGGCCGCGGTCAGGGCTCTGGTCAGGGCTCCGGTTCTGCTCCGGTCCCGGCTCCGGCCGTCCGGTAACGGTTCCGGTGCCGGTCAGAGCTCTGGCCGCGGTCAGGGGTCCGGTTCTGGTCCGGTCCGGCTCCGGTCAGGGCTCCGGTTGCGGTCCCGGTTCTGGCCGCGGTCAGGGGTCCGGTTCCGGTCCGGTTCCCGTCGGGGCTCCATTTCCGGTCCGGTTCTGGCCCCGGTCAGGGGTCCGGTCCATCTTCTGTCCGGTCCCGGTCCGGCTCCGGTCAGAGCCCCGGTTTCGGTCCGGTCCGGTCTCGGTCTGGCTTTGGCCGCGGTCAAGGGTCCGGTCCCATTCTGGTCCCGCTCCGGCCGCGGTCAGTTGTCCAGCCCGGTCCCGGTCCCGCTCTGGCCGCGGTCAGGGGTCCAGCCCGGTCCCGGTCCGGTTCCGGCCGCGGTCAGTTGTCCAGCCCGATCCCGGTCTGGCTTTGGCCGCGGTCAGTTGTCCAGCCCGGTCCCGGTCCCGGTCCCGTTCCGGCCGCGGTCAGTTGTCCAGCCCGGTCCCGGTCCCGTTCCGGCCGCGGTCAGTTGTCCAGCCCGGTCCCGGTCCCGCTCCGGCCGCGGTCAGTTGTCCAGCCCGGTCCCGGTCCCGGTGCGGCTCCGGCCGCGGTCAGTTGTCCAGCCCGGTCCCGGTGCGGCTCCGGCCG